CAAAAGAAGCCTTTCCCACATTCATTACATACAAATGGTTTTTCTCCAGGATGAATTTTCTTATGTAGAATAAGTTGTTCTCTCAGTCTGAAAGTCTTCTCACATTCATTACATTCATAAGGCTTCTCTCCAGTATGTAGTCTCTGATGTTGAATAAATTGTGCCCCTACTCTGAAGGCCTTCCCACATTCATCACATTTATAAGGCTTCTCTCCAGTATGAATTCTCTGATGCTGAGTAAGCTGTGTCTTCAGTCTGAAGGCCTTCCCACATTTGTTACATTCATAAGGTTTCTCTCCAGTATGAATCCTCTGATGTTGTATGAAATCTGAATTCCAAAAGAAACCTTTCCCACATTCATTACATACAAATGGTTTTTCTCCATTATGCACTTTCAAATGCTGAGTAAGCAGTTCCCACAGTCTGAATGCCTCCCCACAATGATTACATTCATAAGGCTTCTCTCCAGTATGTATTCTCCTATGTTGAACAAATTGTTTCTTCACTCGAAAGGCCTTTCCGCATTCATCACATTTATAAGGCTTCTCTCCAGTATGAATTCTGTGGTGATGAGTAAGCTGTATCCTTTGTCTGAAGGCCTTTCCACATTCACTACATTCATGAGGTTTTTCTCCAGTATGAGTTCTTTGATGTTCAATAAACTGTGAAATGTAATGGAAGCCCTTTCCACATTCCTTACATTTATAAGCAATTGCTCCAGTATAAATTCTCTGATGCTGAGTAAGTTGTGTGCCCAGTCTGAAAGCTTTACCACATTCATTAAATTCATAAGGTTTTTCTCCAGTAAATTCTTTGCTTTCTGAAAGGAAGAACAAAGGGCTGATTAACCCTGCCTTTTTTCCCTTTCCTAAGGTTTGGATCCACTCAAAGGTTTTAGAAACATTCTCAAAAGAAAAAAAAAAAGGAAAGAAAGAAAAAGGGGCAGCTAGGTGGCACAGTGGATAGAGCACTGGCCTTGGAGTCAGGAGGACCTGAGTTGAAATCCGGACTCAGACAGCTTAGTAGCTATGTGACTAGGGCACATCACTTAACCTCAACTGCTTCACTGAAAAAAAAAAAGGGGGGGGGGGCGCGGCGGCTAGGTGGTACAATGGATAGAAAATAGAGTACCAGCCCTGGATTCAGGAGGACCCGAGTTCAAATCTGACTTCAGACACAAAACACTTACTAGCTGTGTGACCCTGGGCAAGTCACTTAACCCCCATTGCCCAATGAAAAAACAAAAAAGAAAAGGAATATTCTCTAGCCTTCCCATCTGAGAGGACTAGTCACTCTGGTCTTTCAATAAGGATCACAGTTCATTTTATGTGAAAACTCATACTTAGCATACATAAACAAATTCGGTTATCATAAAATTACTTGGAGGAATGAATAAGCCCTTACTCTACTGTAAACAGATGACATTTGAATAGAATAAAGAAATGAAAGGCTATCCACAAGAAGTATAGACCTTTAAGAGCTTGCAAATACATCCTTACTATCTGAGGTGAAAATAGGAAGGGAAAATACTAAACAGAAAGAATAAGGATCAACCAATTTAGAGTGAGGAGGAAAAACAGAAGAGCCATGAAGTAAGCAGAATAAAGAAGAAATATGAGGAAAAAGGGAATCATATCAGAAAATTGTTGCCATTAATTTCTACTAAAAATCCAACATACCTACTTTGTAAGGAATTGGTTCAAGTTTGTAAGAGTAAGATCCAATTCCAAAAATGAAAACAATCAAGATATTTTTCATTAGAGAAATTATTAATAGTTACCTGAAACATTGTTCAAACTCAGGTAATCAAAGAAGTCAAAATGAAACAATTGGGATATATCGAGAAATAGTGATCAGATTAGCAAAGATACTTAAAATGTTAAAAAATTTCGGCAGTTATGCTGAAATAGGCACTTATTCAACTGCTGTTGCTATTTCTCTGAAATGTAACATAGCAATTTAATTTAGTGCTACAAAATTGTTCATATCCATTGACCCAATGATCTCACTACTAAGTTTACATCCTTAAAATTTTACTGAAAGCAAACACAGATCTCTCTCAAAAATATTCACAGCAGCCGTTCGTGAAACAGCACAATACCGAAAACAGGTTCAGAGATGGAGTTGTGGGTCAACAATTCATGTCATATAAATGTATCATTGTGCCTTTATAAAAAATAATTTCAAAGCATAAAGAAAAACAGGATGATATGTAAAATGACAGAATGAAGAAAGGGGAATTAGGTTATGACTAAATGCATTAAAAAGTAACAGCAGCAAAGCAACGTGATCATAAAAACACAGAAGAAAATATCAGAAAGAGACTCAGAAGAAAAAAGGCTATATTATTAATATCTTAAGTAATATGCTTATTTTAAAAGGGAGAAAGAATTGCTGGAAGAGTGGCAGAAGAATGCCTGCATAAGGTAAGATAAGATTCAAAGAACAAAAGAGAATACCTGTATTGAGGAAACAACTTTCTTTGAGAGTAGAGGTATATGTGAGTAGTGATGCATAAAAAAGTATCTTCTTTTTTAAAAAATCTCAGCTCTTTTCGATAGGACCAAGAAATTCTCATAAGAGCACCCTGGGCAACACTTCATAAGAACTTGGGGGGTGGAGCCAAGATGGTGCAGAAAAGGAAGGACCTACCCTAAGCTCTCCTCCAAAACCCTCTGAACAACTTTAAATAATGACTAATGCCTCAAAACAAATTCTGGAGCAGCAGAGCCCACAAAAGGAAGGGGTGAAACAATTTTCCATCCCAAGACAACTCAGAAGGTTTGCAGAAAAGGTCTGTTGCACCAGGGTGAGAATGGAGCACAGTCCAGCACAGGCAGGCCCCAGCAAACCAGCAGCGGGCCTTGAGAGCCACTGAATCAGCAGCAGTAGCAGCTGCCTCTGGAGCTCTCAAGCCCACAGCCGGTAAGAGGGTCAGAAAATTGGTCAGAAGGAGATTACAGGGGTCTCTTTGCTGACACTGCAGGAAGGATTCTGTTGCTTTGCCAATACTTGGATCTGGGTCACAATCCTGGGTGGACGTTCCAGGGCGAAGAGGAGCACTAGCACACCAGAGCTAGTGGCCACAGTGCAGCAGGAACCCTGGTCACAGTTCCAGGAAGAAGAGTGCTTGTTCCTCACAGGACAGGCCAGGAGAGTAGTAGACACACCTCTCCTTAGATCACACCACCTTGGAAGAACTGAAAACTTACAAGTCCCGAGAAGTATCTCTGAAAAGAGCTGTATAAAACCCCTGAAGCTTGAGACAGTGTGGCCTATACCCTGCAAGCAGAGCCCCACTTTAGCAGAGTTAAAAGTCAAGAAAGAGGCTGGAAAATGAGCAAACAAAAGAAAATTCTGACTACAGAAAGTTACTATGGTGACAAGGAAGATCAAAGACACATTCAGAAGATAACAAAGTAAAAACTCATACATCCAAAGCCTCAGAGGAAAACATAAATTAGTCTCAGGCCATGGAAGAACTCAAAAAGAATTTTAAAAGTCAAGTAAGAAAGGAAGAGGAAAAATTGAGAAGAGAAATGAGTGATGCAAGAAAATCATGAAAAAAAGAGTCAACAGCTTGGTAAACGAGGCACCAAAAATAGTGAAGAAAATAACACCCTTAAGAAGTAGAATAGGGGGCAGCTAGGTGGTGCAGTGGATAGAGCATTAGCCCTGGAGTTAGGAGGACTTGAGTTCAAATCCCGCCTCAGACACTTGACATTTACTAGCTATGTGACCCTGAGCAAGTCATTTAACCCCACTGCCTAGCCAAAAAACAAAAAAAAGAAGCAGAACAGGCCAAATGGTAATAGAAGTACAATAATCCACTGAGGAAAAGAATGTCTTGAAAAGCAAAACTGATCAAACAGAAAAAGAGTCACAAAAAAATCACTGAATAAAAGAACTCCTTAAAAATTAGAAATGACCAAATGGAAAAACAGGTACAAAAGCTCACTGAAGAAAATAACTCCTTAAGCATTAGAATTAGGCAAGTGGAAGCTAATGACTTTGAGACATCAAGAAACAAGCAAACAAAACCAAAAGAATGAAAAATTAAAATAAAATGCAAAATATCTCAATGGATAAAGATTTTGTAAGAACTTTGACCTAAAATGACCAGAGCTGTACTTTACAATGATTCATTTGCTTGGTTTTTATGAAGTCACCTGGACAGCTTCTTCTTGGGATATCCGTCTCTGGCATCCAAAATGCTTCCTTTCTTTCCAACTGGTAGATCACATCTGGTTTGGAAACTGCAAATCCTGTCCATTGAAAAGAAAAAAGTGCTAGGGATGGTAATTTAAGAATTCTATCTTAAAACAAATAATTTAAATACTCACCCTACTCTCAGTAGGTTGGGGAATAAGAGTGCAGAATGTATCTTATATCATCAAGGGCATCAACAATGTTAGCTGATTTTGTCTGAAATTGTTTTCTTTTTCTTTTTTTTTTTTTAACCAGGTAGTACTCAATAGGCTGGTTGAGGGGAGAAGTAGGATTTTTTTTTAAGTGGGGAGGGAAGGAGAACTGACACCAAATGAAACATTCATAAAATTTAATAAAAGCATCCAAAACTACCTTAAGCTCTTTTGGGGAGAAAAAAAGTGGGCACGCTAGGAAGACCTCAAGGATGGTACAAATGACCACTGCAGCATAGTCTATATTGTGTGGGAATGGGTTACAGTGTAGGACTTCAGGAAAACAGTTCATTTGACACACTCCCTGCTTAGACAATGGGAATATTTTGTGTATGATGATACCTCTACTGGGATTAAACAGAAAATGTTGGATCTGAAGCAGTACAGAGTGTTTAAGATGATAATAAATCAAGAAGTCAGTTTCTATTCCTACTAAACAGAAACCTTTCTCCCAGGCAGCACAGGTTTTCTGTCTCTTTGTTAAAAAAGGATTAGGAATAGCTTCCTTTTGTATGCCAAAGAAAAACTGCTAAAATCTTGAAAGTCCCTATAGTGGATATCAAGACTCCAAAGGGGTACCTGTTCTTACCCAAAGAGACCAAGTTCCTATAGTTCTCCAACATCACATCCCTGTACAACTTTTTCTGAGATGGGTTCAAATGTAGCCACTCCTCCGGAGTGAATTCCATAGCCACATCGTTGAATGTCACTGATTCCTGAAACAACAAAAATATTTGGGTTACCCAGGTACAGCTCTGACTGGTATGAAGTTTGAATGAAAAGCACTTGACAGTATGGATTTTTTCGTTCATTTATGTGAAACACAGTACAATGCCTGGTACAGAGCAGGCACTTAAGAATTCCTCTCCTATTAGACTGTAAGCTCCTTGAGAGCAGGGGCTATTCTTGCCTTCCTTTGTATCCTTGAATTCAATACAGTGCCTAGCACATAACAGGATGCTTAATTAATGCTTATTCTTTTTAGTGGTTCCAATGACATCAATTTTATTTTATTTTATATTTTTCCCCCTTTGGCTTTTTATTTCACTTTTTTTAAACAAAGTCTGGTCCCCTGAGAAAAGGACTTCCTTCCCTCCCTCCCCATTCCCCTCCCCAACCCTTCTGCTAGAGTTCAGGTTCCCGCTCAATCTTCACCAGCTCCACCTCAAACACCAATGTGGCTCTACCTGGAATCTTTGGGGGAGCTCCTCAATCCCCATATCCCAGCTCTGAAGGGATCACCAGCTTCCGCTTCTCCCCCTCACACACCCCAAGGAGCCCCTGGTCCCAGCCCTTGATGACCTGGCCTGTTCCCAAGGAGAAGACAAAGGGCTGGTCACAGTGCAGACAGCTGTCAAACTCAGTGCCATCTTCGAGCCTCCCTGTGTAATGGATGTGGAGCTCGTCGCCTTTGTGGGACTTGAAGGGGCAGTGGTCCACCCGTTTTTTTACTCCAATCTGGAGCTTTCGCTTCCCCTCCCCTGCCCTGGTGGGCAGGACACCCAGGCAGAGGGGCAGGAAGACCAGATGCTAGGTCAGCTGCATGACCCCTCTCACCGCATCCCCGGAAATCAATGACATCAATTTTAAAACCTGCACCCATGGCTCCTACTTTTACCCTCTGAGCTCAAGCAGTAGTATGCCTAATCTTTTTCTGCTTGCTGAAATAAACAATGAAAATGAAATAGTGAACCATAGTTACCATATGGACCTAAGTCTTCACGTGCAGACTAGCCATTCTGATTCTTTGACCAATCAGCATGAGCTCTCATCACTAAAGTAGTCGCCTTCTTCTCTTTAAAAAAACAAAACTATATGTGTATATTTATACAAACACATATATACATACATATATATATATATATATATTCACAATTGTATGTAAAAACAGCTATAAGGGAATTTCAGTGCTAAGATAGCAGGGGAGAAGGAACTCCTTTCTAAAGCCCTCCTGAATTACCCTAAAAACAACATATATATATAAAAAAAAAGCCTTCAGAACTGATATAAGAGCAGAAATGCAGGTTACCAGCATAGCAGGAAAGGTCAGTCTCACTAGAGTGGGAGGGGAGACTCAGTTAAGTTGCCCAGTTAAGTGCAACAGCAAGGCCCCGAGCCCCAGCAAAAGAAACCTGAGAGAGTGGAGGAATAGAGCCCAATTCTTACATAAAAGCACAAAGTCACAAAATAGATAGAAAAAATGATCAAAAAACAAACAACGAAAAAGAACTTGACTATAGAGAGTTGTTATGATGACAAGGAAGATCAAGGCACAAATTTAGAAATGGACAACAGTTTCTAAACGGCAACATGTGAAGCCTTAAAGCCTCAAAGAAAAATTTAAATGGCTCAAAGGCCCCAAAAGAAAGAGCTCACAAAGGGTATTTTTTAAAAAACAGAAGTGGAAGAAAAACTGGGAAAAGAAATTAGTTTTGCAAAAGAATCATGAAAAAAGAGCCAACAGCTTGGTAAAAGAAACCCCAAAATGGAAAAAGATATAAAAAAATTAACAGAAGAAAATAATTCCTTCAGAAATAGAATTGGCAAGTGGAAGCTAATGACTCCATTAGACTTCAAGAAACAACACAACAAAACCAAAAGGAGAAAATGTAAAATTTCTAAGTGGAAAAACAATGACATGGAAACAAGAGAAAGAGAATATTATAAAATGTAAAATGGATAATTTTGATTATATAGAATTATAAAGTTTTTGCTCAAACAAAACTAATGCAAATAAAATTAGTAGAAAAGCAGAAAATAGGAAAATATTTTATAGCTAGTATCTGACAAAGGTCTTATCTCTCAAATATATAGAGAATTGAGTCAAATTTGTAAGAATACAAGGCACTCCCCAACTGATAAATAGTCAAAGGATATGAACAGGTAGTTTTCAAAGAAATCAAAGCTATCTGTTGTCACAGGAAAAAATGCTCTAAATGACTACTGATTAGAGAATTGCAAATTAAAACAACTCTGAGGTACCACCTCACACCTATCAGACTGGCTAACATGACAGAAAAGGAAAATCATAAAAGCTGGAGGGAATATGGGAAAACTGGGACACCAACACATTGTTGGTAGAGTAGTGAACTGTGCCAACCATTCTTGAGAAGAATTTGGAAGTGCCCCAAAAATTGTGCATACCCTTTGATCCAGCAATACCACTACTAGGTCTATATCCCAAAGAGATCATACAAAAGGCAAAAGGATCTATATGTACAAAAATATTTGTAGTAGTTTTTTAAAGGTGACTAAGAATTGGAAATCAAAGGTATGCTTATCAATTGGGGAATGGTTAAACAAGCTGTGGTATATGATTATAATGGAATATTACTGTGCTGTACAAATGACAAGCAGGATGATTGCAGAAAAACCTGGAAAGACTGACATGAACTGATGCATAGTACAGTGAACAGAACCAGGAGAATGTTACACACAGTAACAGCAATATTATTGGATGAAGAACTGGAAATGACTGAGCTATTCTCACCAATACAATGATCCAAGACAATACCAAAGGACTAACGATGAAGTATACTATCTGCCACCAGAGAAAGAACTGATATTGATTGAACACAAATTGAAACATGTTATTTTTCACTTTCTTTCATTTTTTAATTCGAGTCCTCAGTACAAAATGACTAATACGTTTTATATAATTTCACCTATATAACCTATATCTGATGGCTTACTGCCTCAGGGAGGGGGGAAGGGAGAGGGAGAGAATTTAGAACTCAAAACTTGAAGTAAAAATGTTAAAAGAATTTTTTAAAAACACAGAAATCATGAGATAGTTTAAGAGAAGTGAAGAAAACGTTGGGCCTCCATTTGTGAAGGGTCCAGACCAGTCATGCTTCATCTCTCTGCCAGCGCTGCTTCTGACTTTCCTAACTCTGATATGATATCCCCATGAGAGCGAGCACCTTCCTCTCCCAACATGAGAATTTTCTCAGCTCCCTTTTCTAAGTTTTATTCCCCCATAAGATTATGAACTCCTCAGGGCAGAAACTGTCTTTCATTTTGCAGTTAAAAGGAGTCTACATAAACACAGGCTACAGGTGTGGGTGGAAAATTTTGGGATGATCTCAAAAAAAGATGAGAGAAAGAGGGATGTACTAGGAGAAGGAAGGAGGAAGTGGGAAGATGGGGGAAATAATAGGAAAAAAAGGCAAAAAAAGACCTTTTAAATTGTAAAGGAAAAGGGAGAAGAGTGACAAAGCTTGAACCACACTCTCACGTGGTTCAAACAGGCAAGAATATACACAAATGAGAGAGGATTCTGGGCAGGTGGCAGAGTAGGTCAGAAAACTTTTGGCTCTCCAAATTTCTTCAAAAAAAAAAAAAAAGAAAAAGCACAGCCTCAGAGGGAATGTAGAGCAGCAAAAATAAACAAAGATCAGGGTAAAGCAGTTGTCCACCTAAGACAATCCAAGAAGTTCCCAAGAACTACTTGACCTCCAGAAGTGGAAGTTCAGCCTGAGTGAAGTACAAACATCTCTAGGCCAACTCTTCTGAATCTACAAACAACGAGCCCTGGGGGCAGCCGGATTGGGAGGAAGCTTCAGCCTCAGAAGCTTTCACCTCATGGACAGTGTGGGGGTCTGAAGGCTGAGCAGGAGAAGGCTGACAGGTGTTCCACTGTCAAGAGATGCCAAGCACAGCTGTGCTGACCAGACATATCCCAGAGGCTGCGGGGAGGAGCTGTACTCACCATGCCTGGGGACAGGGCACAGACCCTGCTGGCTGTGGGCCCTCTCAGGAGAGCGGAGTCCCTGGTTTCAGTTCCAGGGCAGAGAGGACAGTTGTAGTTTGCAGCCACCAGAGGGACCACAGGGAGCAAGCACATGTGTGGGACAGCATAGCTAGGGCCCCTAGCCATGGCTTAGGAGTGAGAGGACAGCCTAAGGTTGGGCCCCAAGACAGACCTCAGAAAATACCAGTAAGAAGGACCTGAGACTTGGGGCATCTTACCTACACCTTGGGACTAGAACTTGATTATACTAATAGCTGCTAAAAATAAAATAAAATAAAATAAAACAAAATAAAAATGAGTAAGCTACGGAGAAAAAACCCAACCATAGATAGCTACTATGGGAACAGGAAAGATCAGGGTTCATATTCACAGGAAGATAATGGAGTATAAAAGCTACTCCTTTTTCAGTGAGAAATGTCAAATGGTCCCAAGCACAAAAAGAGTTCTTAGAAGAACTTTAAAAATCAAATTAGAGAGATCAAGGAAAATTTAGAGAAAAAAAAAACCAAGAGCAATCCAAGAAAATTATAAAAACAAAGTTAATCAACTTGAAACAGAGAATGAAAAACTTAAGTAAGAAAATAGCTCCTTGAAAACTAGAATTGAGCAAGGGGAAGCTAATGACATTTTAAGACACCAAGAAATAATAAAACAAAATCAAAAGAATGAAAAAATAGAAGAGAATGTGAAATATCTCATCGGAAAAACAAGGGATCTGGAGAACAGATCAAGGAGAAATAATATAAGAATATTTGGTCTACCTGGAAGATATGATAAAAAAGAAAACATCTTGATACAATATTACAAGAAATTATCAAGGAAAATTGCCCTAAAGTTCTAGAACAGGAAGGCAAAGCATAAATAGAAAAAATCCACCAATCACTATCTGAAAGATATCTCAGGATGAAAACTTACAGGAATATCATAGCCAAGTTGCAAAGCTCCCAGTTTAAGGACAAAATGTTGCAAGCAACAACAATTTAAATATCATGGAGCTACAATAAGAGGTGCACAAGACCTAGCAGCTATTACAGTAGGCCTTAGAACACTATATTTCACAGAGCAAAAGAGCTGGGGTGACAACCAAGGGTAACTTACCAAGCAAAGTTAGTAAAATCCTGGATAAAAAAAAAAAATGGACATTTAATGAACTGAAAGACTTCCAGGTATTTGTGGCAAAAACAGCAGAACTTCATGGAAAATTTAACATATAAGATTCAGGAGAAATATAAGGTAAAGATTAAAGGCTAATTATAAGGGACTCAAAAAGGACAAATTGTTTACTTCTTATACGTAAAAATGTTATCAGTACTCATGACTTATTATTTGGGTAGTCTGAAGGAAAGGCTTGGGCTGAGGTGTGTCTGATGGGGTGTTTCTAAAAAAAAACTATGGACAGATAAAAAGGAGTACTTACTCATAAATGAGGCACAAAAGGAAGAAATGGGGGTAGGTAGGTGTCGCAGCGGATGGAGTAACCAACCCTGGAGTCAGGAGGACCTGAGTTCAGATCCAGCCTCAGACACATAATATTTCCCAGCTGTGTGACTCTGGGCAAGTCACTTAAACTCAATTACCTCACCAAAAAAAAAAAAAAAGAACTGATATAGAAGAAGTAGGGGGGAGGGTGGGACTTTACTTTCATTGGTAATGGGTAAAAGAGGGAACATATATATACATGTATACATATATATAACTTTTATACATATGTATATGTATGTATATATGTATGTATGTGTATGTATATACGTATGTATATGTGTATGTATGTATAAAAGTTTTCTAAGTTCAGAAAGAAATAAGAGGGCAAGGGGATAGGGCAGAGGGAAAGGATAAGGGAAGGACTCTTAGAGAGGTAGGTAGTTTAAGGAATAGGAGGGCAAGGTAGCATGTAGAAGTAAAGTAAAGGAGTGAGGAGGGATAAGGTAAATAGAGTAAGAAGGATAGTGATGAAAAACAGAAAAGAGGAAGATACAGAACAATTCATTGTAGCTTAGAATGCGAATGGGATGACTTTACCCATAAGACAGAAATGGACAGCAGATTAAAAATCTGAATTCAACAATATGTTGCTTTCAGGAAAACACCATAAAAATGAGAGATACACACAAAGATAAAATAAAGGGCAGGAGTAGAATTTATCATGTAAAAAACAAAAGGATGGGTAATAATCATGATCTCAGACAAAGTTAAAGCGAAAATAGACAATCAATAGAGAAAAATAAGGAAATTATATACTATGTGTCACCAATACCACTCAATATTGTTTTAGATCATTTAAAATACCTAGATCAGTATAAAATAGCTGGGAGTATACCTGCCAAAAAAGACATAGGGACTATAGTAATATTTATTGTTCCTGAGTAGGTAAAGTCAATATAATTTTTAAATTACAATTTTACTCAACTAATCTATTTATTCAATGCCATCCCAATTAAATTACTAAAAAATTATCTTACTGAGTTAGAAAAAAATAATGGCAAAGATCATTTGGAAGAACAAAAGGTCAGGAATTTCAAAGAAACCAGGGGTAAAAGATGTAAGAGTTTCAGTAGTATCAGACTTTAAACTATATTACAAGATGAGATCATTGCTGAAGTGTAAAAGGGAAAATTTCAATTATTTTAAATTAAAATTTTCTTGTATCAATACAAGCAATATAGCCAAGAAGAGAAGGAATGCAGAAAATTGGGAAAAATTTTTAATAGACAATCTCTCAGATAGGATGTGATTGTGTTGGAATATTGCTGTGGTGTAGGAAACAATGAGCTGGCTGATTTTGAAAAATATGGAAAGACTTGGATCCATGAAGGAAGATGTTATCCACCTTCAGAGAAAGAGATCACACGTGGAAATATTCATAGTACGGTTTACATATATGTGTATGAGGGTATATGTGTATATAAGTACAAGTTTATGTATGTATATGTGTGTATGTAGATACATATACATAACTATTTAATTGTAGCCTACTTTTGAGAGGGGGAGAGAAGGTAAAAAAAAATGAAGTAAAAAGTCCACAGCAGAGAACAAAAGAAAAAGGAGGCAAAGAAAAGTGGGCTAGCTTGGAAAACAATGTGCAGTATGTATTACATAGGTTTTCTTGAAATGGAAATTTATTGTTCAATCTTTTGAATCCTCTCTTATGTTCTGCTGTGTAAATGGCAATGGTTTTCCTTTTTCCTTTTTCTCATTTTCAATGTAACTTTAAAATGAATACAAAATTTACAAAAAAAAAGGAATATATATTTAGATACAAACTCAACTGTATCTCTTTTACTCAATGTTAGAGAAGGATGGGAAGGGGATTAAGAAAAATAGTGGGGTGATAAGAGGAAGGGCTGATTAAGAGAGGAGTAGTCAGAAGCAAAAAAGACCCCTGCAAAAGGCCAGGGGGTGATAGGAGGTACAGCTGATGAAGGAAGGCAGTGGTCAGAAGCAAAAACCCAAACAAACTTTTGAACAGTGACAGGGTAAGAAAAGAGAGAGAGAAGTATAAACCCAAGAAAACAGGAGAGAGGAAAACACACAATTAGTAATCATAACTGTGAATGTGAATGGAAACAAATCACTTATAAAACAGAAGTAGAATGCATCATGGTTTAGAAACTAGAATCCAACAGTACATTGCTTACTAGAAAAACATCTGGAAAAAAAGATGAGTTAAAATTAAGGGCTCGAGCAGAATTTGTTATGCTTTAGCTGAAGTAAAAAAGGCAGAGGTAGCAACCATGATCTCAGACAAAGGAAAAGCAAAAATCAATCTAAATAAAAGAGATAATCAAGGAAACTACAAATTGCTAAAAGGGACTACAGACCATGAAGTACTACCAATATTAAACATATATGCACCAAAAGGCATAGCATTCAAATGCTGAAAGGAAAAATTAAATGAGTTACAGGAGGAGATAGTAAAACTATACTAGCAGGGTACCTCAACTTTTCCCTCTCAGAACTAGATAAATTTAATCATAAAATAAATAAGAAAGAAGTTAAGCACATGAATATTATTTTAGAAAAGTTAGCAATGACATATAATGTACCAAAAAAATCATGCACTAAAATCAGGCTATATTTATACCAGAAATGCAGACAGATTCAATATTAGGAAAACTATAAGCATCAATGACCATGTTAGTAACAAAAACAACAAAAATCACATAAATAGATGCAGAAAAAGCTTTTGAGAAAATACAACATCCATTCCTACTTAAAAAAAAAATAAGAAAGCACAGGAACAAATGAAGCTTTTCTTAATATGATAAGTAATTTCTATCAAAAACAAGAGCAAGTATTATCTGTAATGGAGATAAACTAGATCAAGTGTGAAGTAAGGATGACCAGGATCAAGACTTTTATTCGATCTTTTACTAGAAATGTTAGCTATAGTAATAAAACAAGAAAAAGAAATTGAAGGAATAAGGCAATAAGGAGACCAAACTATCACACTGCAGATGATACAATGGTACATTTAAAGGAACTGGAACTCTAAAGAACCAACTAAAAAGCAAGATGAAAGAGTGAAGAACTTTAGCAAAGTGGCAGGATATAAATCATCACTATTTCCCTATGTTACCAACAAAACCCAACATTGAGAGATAGAATGAGAAATTCCATGTAAAATAACTGCAGAAAGCATAACATACTTGGCAGTCTCTCTGACTAGACACACCCAGCAATTAGATGAACATAATTACAAAACACTTTTCACACAAATGAGAACACATCGAAACAACAGGAGAAATATTAACTGCTCATGGGTTAGTGGGCAATTCTACCAAAATTAATTTACTTATTCAGTGCCACAGCAATCATACTACAAGTGAATTTTTTTGATATACCTAAGAAAAATAATAAAATTTATCAGGAAGAAGAAAAGGTCAACACTATCAAGGGAATCAATTTGTTAAAAATGCAGGAAGGCAGCCTAACAATCCCAGATTTCAACAAACCCAGATTTCAAAAAGCAGTAATCATCAAAAAAATCTGGGGCAGACAAAGAAATACAGTGGTTGATCAGTGGAATGAACAGATTAGGTACACAAATCACAGAGGTAAATGATCATAATAATCTGTTTTTTCAAAAACTCAAGGATCCACTCACTGGGGGCAAGAACTCACGATTTGATAAAAACTGCTGGGAAAACTGCTGGCAGCAACTAGGCCTAGACCAACATCTCAAAACAAATATCAAGACAGGGTCAATATGGGTACACGATTGAAATGTGAAGGATGGCATCATGTACAAGAGAGGAAGAATTTACCTGACATATCTTTGGATAAGGGAGGAATTTATGATCAAACAAGACACAGATGACCACAGGAGGTAATATGCATAATTTTGATGACATGAAATTTAAGTCTTTACATAGACAAAACCAAAGCAGAAAAATAAAAAGGCAAGCAGCAAAATGTTAACCGTTTTTATAGCAAAATTCTCTAATAAAGGTCTCATTTGTCAAAATATATGGGGAATTGAACCAAATTTATAAAAGCCATTCCCCAACTGAAAAATAGTCAAAGAAAGAAGAAATGAAAGCTATCAATAGTCCAATGAAAAAATGTTCAAAATCAATAATACAGAACAATCCAAATTACAACGGAGACACCACTTCACACGTTTTAGATCCTAAGATGGCAGGACAAGGGTTGTCAGAAAAACCTAGAAAAACTTGCAGGAACTGAGGTAAACTGAGCAGAATCAAAAGAACACCCTATAAAGAAACAGCAATACTCTAACAATAATTAGCTGTGAAAGACCTGTCTACTCTGATCCACACAATGATCCATGAAAACTACGAAGGATTCATGATGAACAATTAAAAGAACTGAAGAACTCTGCTGTAGACTAAAGCATCTTTTTTCACTTGCTTTTATTTTTCTTACCTTCTTTTTTCTTTGTAACCTGGCTAATACGGAAATGTTTTGCCTAACTTCACATGCAAAACCTGTATCCCATTGCTTGCATTCTCAATGGGTGGTGGAGGGGCAGGCAGGAGGAAGGGAAAGAATGTGGAATTCAAAATGTGAAAATGTTTCCAAAAAAATCAAAGTAAATGTAAGGTAATTCCTTTGCAAGGGGAGGACAAAGAGATGACTTCTGTGTTAACTTTTAGCTCTGAACGTATGATGCTCTGATCCCCACAGTTTCTAGGGTTCTCTGAGAAAGAAACGTACCCCACGGTCTTCAAACTGACAAGGTATTTCAGGAAAGAAGCAATTCCCACTCACCCTTGCAGGCCTGGCTGTCAGGAGCACAGGAACCATCCCTTTTGCACCGTGAAAGCGCCTCCTGGACAGAGCAGAGGCCTCGAGGGCAAAGGCTCTGGGGGGAAATGACAACTATGAGAACCACAGGGCAGCTGCAGGTGTGGGCAGAGCAGGGAGGAGGGTCTGTGGGAGAAAGTAAGACAACAGACAGACAGCACTGATCCACCAGCAGAGAAGGCTTCCTGGAAGAAGTGGTACCCAGGAGGCTTTCTACGGAAGAGGAGGAGATAAGGCAACAAGGGAGTCCGGGCACAGACAGGGAGATGTCACTTTTGAGGAGTGGGGGGTGGGGGGTCGGGGGGCATGGACCCCCGGCAGCATCAGGGAAGGCTTCCCGGAGGAGGGGGTACCCAGGAGGATGCCGGGAGGAGGAGATGAGGCCGAAGTGGAACTGGGACCCAGGACCAGACACACAGCAGGAGGGGATCCCTTCAGACTCTGAGCACCGCAGGAGGACCGAGGCCTGAAGGGTCAAGAGTGGAGGGCTCCGCCTCCAACGCCCCCCCGCCCCAGACCCCCATTCCCTGTGTGCTCCCCCACCAGCCCCCGGTGCTCCGACCCCGCCGCACCCCGCACCGGCTCCGCCTGGGCCGGGCCCCGCCCGCTCACTCCGTCACACTTCAGCTCAGGGCACAGAAAGAAAAAACTGCCACAACAAAGCAAAGAAAAGGCAAAAAAAGGGGGTGGGGTGGATGTGACGGGAGAGGCAAGCATGGTTTTCTGGGAATCGTAGTCTAGAGTCTGACGCGACTTCTGCGCATGCCTGGGGCTCGGCCCCTCCCCCGGCCTGGAATGCGGTCCTGCCTCCCTGCCTGCCCCGCCCCTCCCGCCCTTTCTGCCAGGAGCCCCGCCCCCTCCGCTCCTCCCCTTACCTCCTGCTTGGTCTTCACAGCCCCAGAGCCCACGAGGAGTCGCCAGGCGTGGGGTCCCAGACCTCGAGGGGCCCTGGGGCTACTCTGACGCTAGTCCAGCCCGCAATCTCTCCCACTCCGGCAGCCAGTCGCAACAGGCCGCGGCTCTAATGAGCCCGCAGGAAGTGACGCAAACACGCATGGAAGCCACGGCTCTGAGGAGGGAAACCGGGGGCTGGGGCTGGATGCCAGGAGCGCTCGCTCAGCCCCCTGGGGCTTCCAGGAGGAGTAGGACACGAGTGGGCCCGGGGCAGCAGGAGAGGTCAAGGGGGCGCCGGCCAGGGCGAGGCCGTGCACTTTTGTGTCTGGTTCCTCCGTCAAGGAGACTGACCCGAGGGAAACCAGGAGACGTGGAGAGCGTGTAGCTGTGCCTGGGGAATGCCCGTCGTCTGGTGGATGGGCTCAGTAAAACTAAGAGCTAACGTTTGGGGGAGCTTCCTGTGTTCCAGGCACGGCTGAGTACTTTACAAGGACTGTCTCATCTGCTCCTCACACCAAACATGGGAAGCAGGTGCTGTTATAGACCCTCTTTTATACATGTGGAAACTAGGGTGAAGTGACTTGCCCAGGGTCACACAGCTAGCAAGTGCCTGAAGTTGGATTTGAGCTCAGATCTGTGAGAGGGAACAGCAACAATGTGACCAGTTTGATTCATAGCAGAACCAGATCA